TTTAGGAGGTGTGTTAGGAAGAATATTTGCATCACCAAGTGGAATAATGAATCTCCCTTGGAAATCTGAAAAAATAGCCTCAAGGCTACCTTCTCGAGGTGGTTTAAATGTGGGAAGGAGAGAGAAAAGATCAAATGACTCTGAAGGTTCTTTACACTTGTGACTCCAGAGTAGTATCACTCAAAGATGTCAACTGCTCTAATATAAACAAAAATAATTTAAAGATACTCAATGAGGCCTCATATTCAGCTGGGATTTGCCACCATTCCTCACACTAATGAAGTGGGATTTAAAAGCATCACTGATCAGAGGCCAGTGTGGCCTATGCCCAATCAGCTGTGGTAAGAATTGTGGGGAAGCAAGAGATCCCAAATGACAAACACAAATCAGTCACTATTTCTAACCACCTAGCTTCTAAGTCTCCAAAGGGAGCTTTACCTGATATAAATAAGCATCCAGTCAGAATTCCTCTTCTTTGGAAGTTATCTTAGCATCTTTAGGCAATTCAATAATAATGCATAATACTTCCATTCAATAATTTCATGCTGCTTTCATATTTATCACCTTGCTTGTCTTCACAATACCCATTCCACGCCACCCCCCAACAGGTGGCAGGCTGACTTCAGAGGCAGAGAGACTAAGATCCTGAAAGCCCGTGTGCTTTTCCCGATGGTCACGCCAGAACTGTCCCCACAGCTCGCCTGCCTTGAGGTCTTTCCACAAGGCTACACGACCAATAGATGCCTGGTTTCTATTTCCACATTTCAGCTCAGAAGACCACATAAAGGAATGACATATTTGCTCTTACCCTTGCCTATGTGTCTCCTGGTATTTTCTATCGTTGAGTTTCTGTTTACATTTGAAAGAAGTCCAAGACAGAATCTGTTCCTGTTATTGGAAGGGTCAGTGAACCCATCTATGAGCACACTTCGCGAGGAGGCCTGGAACGTCTCCCCAACGCGGTTGTTCAGTTCATAGTAGGCGACCGAGCACCAGTGCTGGGGCTCCTCGTAACAAACTGGCCGGAAGTCTGCAAGAAACAAACCAGATGGCACGTCACTACTGTCGTACCCGGGCTTCGTAGCTCATGACTCCACCTGGAGACTCACATTAATGCTTTTAGCCAGAAAGGTGGCCTCATGACGCAACTATGCGGCTTTGCAATCTTTTAAAGCCTGTCACTTTTCACGGAAGCTGTTTGGGGTTAGCTCATTTGGTTTGCAGGGCTGAGGGGCAGAGGCCAGGATCCTTGCTAGTTGTCCATGGCTAGAGCATTTGTAAACATGTGTATCGGCAATGAGGGGGCCGGGAGAAAAGACAGCGTGAACAGATCAATGTGAAAAATCATCAGCCCTAAAGCAAGCACAGCTAAAAGGAAGTTGGCAGGTCACCTCCTCTTTACATACTAAAGATAGCGTATTACTGTTACTGTGCCAAACTGAATCCCTGTGGCAAGAAGTGTCATTTTATAACAAACTAAAGATGAGAAATAATAGTTTGGATATGATAAAAACTACGTCAAAAACACAGAATAGAACTTTAAATTACTTAAGAAAAAAAAAACCTTCCACATAGAGGGGCTCACATTCTCCTTCGTGTACATACGGGACATCTAGTTATATATGGCATAAAAATATTTTAAAGCTGGATATTTCATTAGGAAACCTATGGATATTATGTTTTCACTCCAAATTTTAAAGTTAAGAAGTTTCCTATAACAAACCAAAGTTTGGAGTTCTTTTCTTCTTTGCCACCCACACGCTTTCTCTGCCTTTCCATTGATTATATATTATCCTTCTTTTCCTGAAATATCTTAGCAATTCTACAGTGTGTTCCTATATGCACTAAAACATAAATGTATAAAATAAATGAAGAGGTTATTATTTGGCTTACAAAAGGATCATCACTTATAAAAGAATTCACTCCTGGATTTTAAACAGTAAACTCCTTTAGACCCCGTCTACTCAAAATGTGGTTCGTGGAACAGTAGCCAGGAGCTTCTTAGGAATGCAAATTCTTGGACCCCACCCCAGATCTAAAGAATTAAAGTCTGCATTCTATAAAATCACCACACGGTTTATACGAACATTAAAGTTGAGCAACACTTATCTAGCCTATTATAAGCTGCAAATAAAATTTCGTAAAGACCTTATTATGTATATTTCTAAGAGCACCCCCTGGCCAAATGAAAGATACCACTATAAATCTATAGTAAAAACACAAATAGAACAAAATCTCTAACTTCTCAAGTTCCCAATTCCACACTAAACATCAGGAACTACAAACTTCTAAATGACAGGTTAAAATTAAAAATTAACTTATTCTAGTAAGGAGGAGGATAAAACATCCATTCTACAGCACTTAGGAATGCTGAAGTTAAAACGCAAAACCATGCTATCTGCTTCTTAAAACATGCAGATGAGCAGGCCAACACATTTTTTTTATTTTGTTTTGTTTGGGGGTAACAGGAAACACTTTTGGAAAACAGCTACATTTAAATTGTTCATCTGCAATTTACCTCCATTTGGTATCGATAGCACTAAATGTCTATCAGTTGTGGCATCTACAGGTCGGCCATTCTGGGTCCCTGGCGCTTCTGGGGCATGATAAGGCAGGGGTGGTGTGTCAGCTAAAAGAAAGCAGTAGAACAAAGGAATCGTCAAGCTGATAAACTACACAAAGATGGTCGGACCCAACATTTTTTGGGTTAAACTTCTGGGCTTGGTGGACAGTGTTACTGCTACAGAGACCATATAAATGTGACAAGGCTCTTCTAAGTGACATTGTGAGTGTCCTACAGAAGAAACTGGCTGTTCTGAGATCCTCACTAAAAGGTCGATTAGTTTTCCCTGACTTATGAGTTATTATTTCAAATGACTTCATGAGAAGATTTTCAAATCTAGGAGCTGTTCTTCTAGCTTTTCTTAATAGCAGATAGTTTGTTATTCTTGCAAAACACAGAGAAAGCTAAACCTTCCTTGAAGTGAGCTTAATTTTCAGCTCCTATGTTGCCATGGATAGCAAAATGGCCACAGGGACGCTCTGTCCCTGAGACACTTCAAGATATGCCCCAAAACACAGAATAGTTGAAACCTAATTATAACCTTGTGCCCAGGGCACAGCCCTTCTCCCCGAATATCAGAATATCGGTTCTGTGATTGGATAGTGATCATGGTTAGGCAAAGGGGCTACATTCAGCAGATAATATCTTATCAGGAAGTAATTCGTAACACGATAAAAACTCATGAGGCAGAGGGAAAACTCCTAAGGGAGGATCTTAGAACAACTGCTTCCTTCAGTATACATTTCAGAATGGTCTTCTTACATTAGCGGTGGAATTCAGTGGCATAAAAGTTTGGGTCAACCTGCCTTTGTTGAATTTAACCATGCCCAAGTAGTTCTCACATTTAAGTGCACAAAAACTGCCAGTGGAGCTAAAAATGCAGATTCCTGGCCCCACACCCAGAAATTCTGATTCAAGGGATCAGTGGCTGGACGTAGCCATGTACTTTTTTGTAGTACAAAAAAGACGTAGCGGACGTGGCCACTGTGCATGGCCACCATGTACATTTTAACAGGCCTTGATGGCAATAGCAATGTAGGGGTTCATGGACCACACTAGAAAACCATGGATAAGGTATTTTCTTGTGAGAAAATGTACTGGGACCCTGGTGAAAAAGTCATGTAGCCAGATGGCCCTTCTGTGGGTCCTTCGGTGAATCTACCTGGAAAATTAAGGGGCTGAACAATGAATTACCATATGATGCAGCAGTTCCACTCCTAGGCACATAACCAAAGGAACTCAAAGCAGGGACACAGACAGAAACACAGCAGTGTTATTCACAACATCCAAAAGGTGGAAACAATCCAAATATCCAACAACCGATGAATGCATTTTTTGAAATGTGGTATCTCCATACAACAGAATGTTGTTCAGTCACAAAAATGAAGTACCGATACATGCTACAACATGGATAAAGTGTGAAAACACTTTGCTCAGTGAAATAAGCCAGACACAAAAGGACAGACATTGTATGAATATTTGCACCTATTCTAGGAGGTGCCTAGAATAGGCAAATTTATGGAGACAGAAATTAGATTAGCGGTCACCAGGGGCTGGGAAGTGGGAAATGGGGAGCTATGACTTAGTGAGTACAGAGTTTCTGTTTGGAGTGATGACTTGAAAATAGACAGTGGTGAGGGCTGCACAACATTATGAATGCACT